CCAAATAACCAAAGAAAGAGAGCAACCAAGAAAACAGACGATAGAAGTAGACCCACATTTCCCCAGTATCACAGGATATCCAATGCGGGCTTTAAGGTGGCTGTGCTGAGTAATTGCACAGAAATAGACAACGAAATGGAGAAATTCACCAGGAAAGTAGAACCTGTCAAAAAATTAGGTGGAAATTCTAGAACTGAAAGATACCACTGAAATGAAGAACTTAATGCATAATTCAAATAGAGAAGGCACAGCAAGAAGGGAGGGTGAACACAGTAGTATTCAACATAAGAATCTGTAAAAATGACGGTAAACCAAGTCCAGAGAAGTTATGAGAAAGGAAATAGGGAAGATGAGAACAGGTATTGATGAAATTGAATGATGAGCCATGGCTACATAGAAAGCCACAGGAGAAGGCAGATGTCTGGCTTTGCCACCATCTGTGTGACGATGGATAAGTCACTTGCCTTCTCTGGATTTTAGTTTCTTTTATTTCAGGGAGACAAGCCTAAGGGTTACCCTCCTCACCCAGGGACTTGGGGATCACATGGGGCAAAGTTGTGGCTGCTCTGTGTTGAAAGCATCAACTTTGCTGACAGCCTGCAAGGTTCGCCCAGGCATTTCTCTGGTGATCATAGTTCCAGGGGCTGTGTGAAGGGCTGGGAGGGCATCCCAGCCTCTGATGCATATTTACTACCATCCTGTTCAGCAGGCATTTACTACAGACTCAAAACTCTGTGTGCTTCACTCATTTGGTTTTCTAGGAATTTCACACAGTTCCCTCAGTCTCTGGTCATTGCTCCTCAACTCCCCATTGCCAGAGAAGTTTATCTTCATTACGAACCCTTCTTAGGGAAATTCTTACTTTCTGGTCCTCAAAAGGGTGCTGACATTTGTCAGTTTTTGCTGGTGACACTGCTCAGCTCTGTCGTGTGCAGATGCTTCGTGCCTCCTCGTATTGAGTATGTGGCTGGGAAATGACTGCCATTCGGCACAGGACAGGGAGCCGGCCTCCCTCCTTCCCCATCCTTCCCTGCTCCCTCTCTTCTTTCTCCTTGTTCTGGGAGGCCAAGCCTCCCCCACCACACACTTGGCATGCAGAGATCTTTGGTCTGTGGCATGTTGATCCAGGTTTCATTTCTGGGAGCCAGGGCTGGCATTCCCCCATGCCTGCAGGCTGCCCCACACTTGCTAGAGCACAGAGAAGACATGTGGTCCTTGTTTCTCCCCTGGAGCCAGGAAAAGGGTGGAGCAGTGATTTTGCTTTTCCACCGCAGTTTTATCTAGGGCTTTGGAAAGTGCTAAATGATACCATCTCAGAAACCTCTGCTGGTTATGGGGAGTGCCCTGGCCTTGGAGGTGTGGCTGCAGGATGCCCCAGAGGAGAGGAGGCTGTCAACAGTCTCTGCCCCACCTCTCGCCCAACCCCTGGCATCAGCCTACAGTGTTAATATCTCTCACGCAGAGGTAGGACATTGTAGGGAAACTGACCTCTCAGCCAGAGTCTTGTTTGGTCAACACGATTCCATAGTCATCTATTTCAGGCCTAGTGCTGTGGCTTACGCCTGTAATCCCAGCACTTCGTGAGGCTGAGGTGGGCCTCAGGATCACCTAGGTCAGGAGTTTGAGGCAAGTCTGACCAGCATGGCAAAACCCCATCTCTAAAAATACAAAAATTAGCAGGCATGGTGGTAGATGCTTGTAATCCCGGCTACTCAGGAGGCTGAGGCAGGAGAATTGCTTGAACCCTGGAGATGGTGGTTGCTGTGAGCCAAGACCCTGCCACTGCACTCTAGCCTGGGCAACAAGAGTGAAACTCCGTCTCAAAAATGAAACAAAACAAAACAGTCATCTATTTCAGGGAACTCATCTCTGCCCTGGCATTAGGGGTACAGAGGCACTAAGGGCATGGGTGTCCTAGGCCTCGCTCATTATAAAGGCAAATGTAGTAAGACTATGGCCCTCCTCTGCTCAGCTCCACCACCGGGTTTCCATGTCACCCAGAGAAAATTTAGTCTTGGCTGTGACTTCTCCGGCCCAACACACTCTCACCCCAGCTGCATGCCCAGATTCCCTCTCACCCCCACCCACTCCTCTCCTCCACCCTGTGTCTGATCCTTCCATACTGACCTCCTTTTTCCAAAGGCTCTGGGGCGCTACTGATGCCTGGGAGGCCTCTACCATAGATCCTTTTACAAGGCACTCCAACCACCTTGTCCAGGGCCGGGAGATCGCAAGGACCAGCAAATATGCAGTCAGTGAATGAGATGCATGGACACACCTTGGTGGGCTGACGGCCCGAGGAAAGAGCAGAATCTGTGTTATCAATCCCAGTTTCCCGTTGAAGGGATGGTTTTGAAGGGCTAGGTGACTTGTTCATGGTCACGCAGTGAGCAGAGTGGGACAGGCTGCTGAGAATCAAAATCTTCTGACTTGGAGTCTGTATTTGCTCAGATCTTGCTCTGAACTGCTGGCCGTCATGTTTCCCTTCATTTGTTTCTGGGTTCCTTCATGCCCCACGCCTCCACTGAGCATTGAGTGTGTGCACAGGTGACAGGGCCACCACCATAGTGAGGCTGAGCTTCCATCCTCACCTTGTTCCCAGTCCAGGGAGGAGAAAGATGAGTGAAGAGTGAAGACAGATTACAGTCAGGACATCGGGGGGCCAGAAGAAAGATGAGTGAAGAGTGAAGACAGAGTACAGCCAGGACATCGGGGAGCCAGGACCCCTAACTCGCCTCAGGAGTGGGCAAGGCTTTCTCCAGGAGGCAGTACCAGCTGAGCCCTAGAGAATTAGTAAGAACCATCGGCCAAGCAGGGTGGAGTGGTTTTCTGGACAGTGGGGACAGCCTGAGCTGGGGCACAGAGGTAGAAGCAACTATGACCTGTGGGTCACTCATGTTGCTTCAGGGTACAAATTATCTGCTTTACCCCATACAGGGGATTTATTCTCTCATGTAACTGAAAAGTCAAGATGTGGAGGGGAGAGGGGCTGCAGGTTGAACCGGATCAGGGCTTTAGCAGCATTTGTTTGGGCCATTCAGTTCTAGTCTCTTCTACACAAGCTAGCAACATAGCCAGCAGGATATTCCACATGTGAACAACAAGCCAGCCAGAACAAGAGAAAGTTTCTTTCCTCCCTTGCAAAGTTTGACTGGATGATTTAAGGCAAATGCCCAACCCTGGATCAATTACCGGGCAAGTAAGAGGTGGGAACCCTCCGCCAGTCAAGTGAACTGAGAGCCTGCCTGAGATGATACAGAAGTTATTCTTACTCAAATTACAGAGCTGCTCCTTGATGGGGGCAGGCGGGGAGAGAATTGGATGGGACGCCTGTGGACACCACTAGGTTATAAACAAAATCTAGGATGTCGTGAAAAGTGAAAAATGGAGCATAGGCCGGATAAAAATGGCATTGCCAACTGAGCTGCAGAGCTCAGACTTCATCTTCCATACACTGGGCTTCTAGTTTGGGAAGCCGTAGGGGGCTGCACCCCATGCATGTTGAGCTAGATGTCTCCAGAAAGTCACTGTGGATTTTATCTGGTTTTTGAGCTCAGACTTATCCTCCCTGTGTTGGGCTTCTAGTTCAGGAAGTGGTAAGTTGCACCCAACACATCTTGAGCCCTGGATGGTTCCAGATAGACACTGTGGATTTAATATGGTTTTTGAGCTGCCCCCTTTTTACCAAAAGGTGATCAATCTCCCTTCAACTTCAATTTTCCTGGAAAAAAAAATACCCTTCTGTTGACTCTCTATACCTTGAGGATGGGGAAGAATTGATCAGACAAATAGAGGTGGAGGAAGCATTCCAGCCTTCCAAGCAAAGACCAAAGAGGTTGTGCTCCAGTGCAGAGGCGTAACCGCAGTGGTACCAGACAGAAATCCCCAGGTGTCAGTGAGATCCGGGGGGTGGGGTGGTCTCTGATGGGCATTTGAGAAGTACACATTTACTTTCTTCCAAAGAATACTCACCCCTTGCTCTGTATCCCTCCAGCCATAGTAATCTGAAGACCAATTAACAAGACAGGTGTCAACTCCAGGGCAGAGCCCCCCAACCCCTGTTCCTGGTCCTCCAACCCCTCCAGATACAAGGAATCAGAGGACTGTGGATTTGGACTGAGATCCTGCTTCTTCCTTCCCTTAGACAAGCCATCTAACCTTTTTGAGTCTCGATTTCATCCAAGACAAAAACAGAAACTAGTATCTAGCTGGCAGTATCTTCTGAGGATTATCTGAGGAGCTAGGTGTGTGTGAATATATCGTCCTGTCAGCTCTCAGTGGACCACCAAAGAATACTGATTCATTCATATGTTGAAGAAGGAATTAAAATTTCGCAATGGCCTAATCAACACCAGAAGCCCAGCATACATCATTTTATCTCATTTTTATAACCATTCTGTAAGTAGGGTGTTAGTATCCCACTTTACCGAAGGAGAAATTGAGGGGTAGGAAGGTTGGATAACCTTCCCAAGCGTCCATGTCTGGGAAATCAGAACTTGAACCGGGTCTAAAGCCCCTTCTATGGAACTGAGGCCAGTTGGCAGAGCTTGAATGTCCGGGTCGGAGGAAACCTGGGCCACTCTCTAAGCATACCATTGTTGTTGTGCTTGTTGCTGAAATCCAAAATCTGGAAGAGAATGGAGGAGAAAGAAAGGCAAGTCACATGCATTTAACAATCCCTGTATATATTGTACTACATGTGTCGTGAGCTCATTTGACAAATGTTTGTTGAGTGTGTCAATGTGCTAGGTTCTGGTTGTTGGAAACACGGAGGGGACGCCTTCTGCACCCCATAGTAACCTTGCAAAGAGATGATAACATCCATTGTATGCACGCACTGAGGCTCACAAAGGTAGATAAACCATCCAGAGCCACCGGCCAGGTTGGCATGACACCAGAAGGAAGACCACAGAATGCGTCCTGGTGGAGATGTGGAGACAAACGTTTTTATAGCAGGGTCACAGAATCTCACTCTGTTTTCTTCCTCCTTTTCTCTGCAGATGACAGACAACCTTCTGTGCCTTCATCAAGCTGGTCGTGTAACCGCCATGTCTCTGGCGACAGCATGGGAAAGACAAAGCCCTAATTAAGGATCATCAGAAACCACAGTTGGAGGACGACGGCAGAGATAGCTTCCCTCCCCACTGTAACAAGACCCTTCCTTCGAGGTCCCCACTCCTGAGGGACCCTGGACTGTCACAGAGGTTAATTACCCCTTAGCTTCTTTGAATGGGAAAGGAAATCACTGGATAAAGCTTCATCAGGAGACTTTATCAGCTCTTGAAGGATTGCAGAAGAATAGGCTACTTTATTTTCTGAAAAGGTAAATAGATGCAAGCAAAGCCAACACGCCACTAATGGCCTTCATCTGCCACACAGCGGTGTCTGGGACACACTGGGGGTCGTCCCCCAGTGGGAGTGAAGTCGAGTTTAACGGCCCTTGAGTCCTCCCTTGGAATTCCTGCCATTCCTTCTGATCGAGCCGCCACCTCTGGGATTTTTCTTCGGTATTTCTCCTCTCTTAGGAGGGAGTTCCTTTCACCCATTGCAGGGAGGCCGCCATCAGGACAGTGAAGATGGTGACCCTGCGGAAGAGGACCCTGAAAGTGCTCACCTTCCTCGTGCTCTTCATCTTCCTCACCTCCTTCTTCCTGAACTACTCCCACACCATGGTGGCCACCACCTGGTTCCCCAAGCAGATGGTCCTGGAGCTCTCCGAGAATCTGAGGAGGCTGATCAAGCACAGGCCCTGCACCTGCACCCACTGCGTCGGGCAGCGCAAGCTCTCGGCCTGGTTCGATGAGAGGTTCAACCAGGCGGTGCAGCCGCTGCTGACCGCCCAGAACGCGCTCCTGGAGGACGACACCTACCGGTGGTGGCTGGTGAGACGCTGCCTGAGAGCAGGGTCTGGACTGAGAGGGGGGTCTGGGCTGAGAGTGGGCAGTCTGGACTGAGAGTGGGGTGTCTGGGCTGAGAAGAGGCATCTGGACTGAGAGTAGGGGCTCTGGACTGAGAGTGGGGGGTCTGGGCTGATAATGGGGATCTGGACTGAGAGTAGGGGATCTGGGCTGAGAGTGAGAGGTCTGGACTGAGAATGGGGTGTCTGGGCTGAGAAGGGGCATCTGGGCTGAGACTGGGGTGTCTGGGCTGAGAAGGGGATCTGGACTGAGAGTGGGGGTTCTGGGCTGAGAATGAGTGACCTGGGCTGAGAAGGGGGGGTCTACACTGAGAGTGGGGAGTCTGGGCTGAGATTGGAGGTCTGGACTGAGAGTAGGGGATCTGGGCTGAGAGTGAGGGGTCTAGACTGAGAGTGGGGAGTCTGAGCTGAGAGTGAGGATGTAATAGTGAGAGTGAGGCGCTCCTGTAGTTAAATACTCAGCCCCTGTGTACACCTGGGGCCCGGCTAGATTGCAGAAGAATAGGCTACTTTGCAGAAGAATAGGCTAATGCTAGGCATTTAGCAGGATTCAGATAATTGTCCAACACTATTTATTGAGGATCTGTTATATCTAAGTCAGAGCAGGAAGCACAGCCTTAGTTTCCCGTGGCTGCCGTAACAAATGCCTGCACGCTCAAGGCTCAAAACACCAGCAGGGCACCCTCTCGCAGCTTTAGAGGCCAGAGTCTGAAATCAAGTTATGGGCAGGCTTGGTTCCTCCTGGAGGCTCTAAGGGGGAAGCTGCCCCACTCCTGGCTCCTGCTGGCTGCCGGCAGCGCTGGGCGTTCCTGGGCTCAGGGCTGTGACAGTCCAGCTTCTGCCTCCACTTCTACAGGGCCTTCCTCCCTGTGTCACATTGTGCCTCAGCTGCCCCTCTCCTTATCTTAAGAGGATACCTGTTATCAGGTTTAGGGCCTACCCTGAATCCAGGTTGATTTCATGCAGAGATTCTCAACAATTTCACCTGCAGAGGCTCCCTTTTTCCAGATGTCATCATGTTCACAGATTCTGGTGACTAGCCCTTGAACTTATCTTTTGGGGAGCCACTATTTCACCCAGTGCCGCTACTGAAATGCAAAGAGAGAGAGAGAGAGAGAGATCCTTATTCTCATGGAATTTTATTTTGGCTGGGAGGGGAAGATAAGAAATAAACAAGGTAGGCTCACACGGAAGTGCTGTGAAGAAAGATCAAATGAGGTTTCTAATAGAAACTTAGAGGGGGCTTCTGTAAATGGGTCACCAGGGAGGTCTCTGGGACAGCAGGACTCAAGTGGAGACCCCCAGGTAGAGAAGGCAGCAGCTGCGAGAAGGGCGGGACCATGCTGCAGGTTCCTGGGACCGCGAGTGTCCGAGCCCCAGCGTGGCCTCTGCTGGATGTGCTGGGGAGTGGAGGAGCTCCGCATGTCTGGGGGCTGTGAATCAGGGGAGGTGCAGTGAGACAAGGCCTGAGAGTCAGCAAGACCCAGGTGAGGACTCTGGGATGTCTTGTAAGTGCAATAGGAAGTCACTGTAGAATTTTTACAGGGAGATTCATGATCTGTAAAAAATGACTTGTCATTTAAAAGGTCATTCCCATTGTTAAATGCAAAACAGATTGAAGAAGAGCAAGATGCATGTGTTCATTTCTTATTTATTGAGCACCTACTATATGCCAAGCACTACTACATTGAAATGGAAAAGATAATCTTTCTTTTCCTGGGTTGCAGGAGTGATGGGGAGAAAAGGGAAAACAAGCGACCTCAAGCCAGGATGAGAGGCGCTGTGCAGGAAGTGGGCGCAGGAGATAGGTCTCTATGCCCAACATTCCTTGGAAAGTGGAGTTATTACAGAAGGCTTCCCACAAGAGGTGATGGCCAAGCTCATCATGAAAGATTTAGAGAGGTTATCCAGGTAGATTCTGGAGGAAGGACCCTCCAGGCACTCAAGGAGCTTATGGTCTATTTGAAATGAACTGAAAATGTGTGAGATTTCGAAGGGTCGAAAGCCCTGGGCTATGAATCCAAAGACCTGGCTGAGTCCTGGTTTGCTCATGCGTGTTGAGCACTGCTGTGTGCAGGTCCTGGGGCGGGCTCTGGGGAGGTGACAGAACCAGGCAGGTACGGTCTTTTCTCTTGCAAAGATCCAAGGGTCTAGTGGAGGAGGCAGTGAGCCAGGCTTGGTAAGGGTTAGGGTCCGCTCTCAGCCTCGGCTCTGCAGACTCGTGGGGCTGGATCAGCCTCAGTCACTGGCCTGTCCTGTGCATTGCAGGGTGTTTAGCGGCATCCCCGGCCTCTACCCACTAGATGCCAGCAGTGCCCCGTCCCCAATTACGGCAGCCAAAGTGTCTCCAGACATTGTGAGGCATAAGCAAAGTCACCCTCACTTGAGAACCAGCAGGGTGGGGAAGGACCGCACGGATGGCAGAGGTCACTTCACCCACATCCCATCCTTTCTCTGGACCTGATTCCCCCTGTAGCAGCAGTTGCTGGGACCACATTAGGTCCAGACTTCGCTTCAGAGCCTGGAGCCTGTGATATTCAGCGTCACCATGGGATTCTGGTTACAAAGGCCTTTTGGGGACAACAGGGTGCGACACAGCCTGGATGTAAACCAAACAGGAAGAGACCCTGCATCGCAGCGTCTGGCTTCTTTGGCTAATCATCATATTCATATTTTCAAGGTCCATCTATGTTGTAACCTATTTCAAAATTTTCTTTTTATGGCTAAATAATATCCCATGGTATGTCTGGAACACATTGTGTCTGTTCATCCATCGCTGGACACTGGCTTGCTGCCAGCTCTTGTCTATTATGGAAATGCTGCTCTGAACATGGGTATACCGATATACCAGCTGGACCAAGGGTGGGAGTAAGACACAGCTAGAAGGCTTCCGCTATTTTTCTCTTTCAAGCTGTGCTGCACAGGGGGATGGGGGCGCCTTTCAGAGAGAGGGGAGCCCCCAGGGAGGAGCAGGCTGGAGAAACACTGATGGGTTCCGCTTGGACATGTGGATTTGGAGGGACCTGTGGGGCCGGGTGTGGCTGGATTACCCAAGTGGCTTCAGCAGTACCTGGCACATAGTAGGTGCTCAGTAAACACTTGCAGAATACATGAATGAGCTCTTTAGTTCTTGAGTAACCCAGAGTCTGCTCGAAGGCAGAAGTGGAGGCAACTGTGTATGAGCCGTCTCCATCTCCAGGGTCCCGGCAGAGAAAAGGGTGAACAGGAGGCTCCAGCAAACAACAGCAGTTGGCTCAGGGACCCTGCTGCCAGGAAGCTGGAGTCACAAAGCCAGGTTGACCACCCTCTGTCCTCCGCCCACAGAGGCTCCAGCGAGAGAAGAAACCCAATAACTTGAACGACACCATCAAGGAGCTGTTCCGAGTGGTGCCTGGGAATGTGGACCCCCTGCTGGAGAAGCGGTCGGTGGGCTGCCGGCGCTGTGCCGTTGTGGGCAACTCGGGCAACCTGAGAGAGTCTGCGTACGGGCCTGAGATAGACAGTCACGACTTTGTGCTCAGGTAAGTGCCAGGCCCTCTCCCACGCTCACCATGCGGTACCCAGAGGCCCCTTGGAGCTGCAGGAAGCATCTTGGCTCATGCTTAGAAAGACAAGTTTCAGTCCTGGTGTCTCTGGACTTACCCAGGGGCCCCGGGCTCCACGCTGCACCTCCTGGGCCTCAGTTTCCCCATCTCTGCCTTGCAGGATGGGAATGGACTAGAAGGACCTTTGTGTGCAGAGAGGAGACCACACACAGGAAGTCCCCCATTGTTGGGAGGTCCCACATTGTTGGGAGCTTGAAACCTGGAGGCCTGGAAAGAGGGCAGAAATGATGTGAAGACTCGTATTTTATCTTCAAAATTCATCCCCATTTTGCCAGGCATGGTGGCTTATACTTACAATCCCAGTACTTTGGGAGGCCAAAGTGGGCAGATCATCTGAGGTCAGGAGTTCGAGACCAGCCTGACCAACATGGGAAATCCCGTCTCTATTAAAAATGCAAAAAAATTAGCCAGGCATGGTAGTGTGTACCTGTAGTCCCTGCTACTCAGGAGGCTGAGGCAGGAGAATCTCTTGAACTCAGGAGGGAGAGGTTGCAGTGAGCTGAGATCATGCCATTGCACTCCAGCCTGGGCGACAGAAAGAGATTCTGTCTCAAAAAACAAAAAAACAACAACAAAACCCAGTGATCCCCATTTTGTAATCTAGGCCATAAGAAAACCGCATCTTCTATGTAAAATACATTTTACATGGCCAAGTGAAATAGATACTCCAGGAAGATGCCCCAAGTCTGTCCTGGGTCTCTTGCCATTCCCACCACACCAGTCACAAGTGCTCCTGCTGAGAAGCGTGGCCTTCTAGAATAGTGTCTCCTGTCTGTGATTCCTGACTTTAGTCCTTAGACCTGCCTCTCGAAGCCTCAGTGTACCAAGTGTCCCATGGGAATGTCCATGATCAGGATCGGAGTTGGGTTTCCTTGACTGTAAAAGCAGGCTGTGGAAATACAGCGAGTGCTCGACTTACGACCACGGAACAGTCGTAACACGAGTTGGTCGTAAGTTGAGTAGGCTATATGTACAGTTGAAATGGTGCACGCGGAGATGGTAGTGCTGCCAGAAGCTGGTCCGCACTGTCGTACGCCCAGCTGGGCAACGTTTGCGCTGCCAGACGCGGAGCAGTCGTGGCTAGCGATTGTGGTCGTAAAGTCAAATGGTTTTAAGTTGCATAGGTCGTAAGTCGATCAATACCTGTAATAGCCTTTGGATGAGATTGTCCATGACAGGCGGCAGTAATGGTGATAGCTAGACTCTCTTGAGGTCATGAAAGAGAGAAAAGTAGCAGAAGCCTAGCTGTGTCTTCATTGTCTCTGTTTTACAGATGAGGAAACCGAGGCCTGGGAAAGGCAGGTGATGCCCCTGAGGTCACAGCAGGCTGGTGGAGCCCAGGCTCTCTGAGGTCGGGTGCCCATGCTACACGGACTCAGCTCTCCCGCCTTCTCCCCACAGGATGAACAGGGCGCCCACGGCAGGGTTTGAGGCTGACGTCGGGACCAAGACCACCCACCATCTGGTGTACCCTGAGAGCTTCCGCGAGCTGGGGGACAATGTCAGCATGGTCCTGGTGCCCTTCAAGACCATCGACTTGGAGTGGGTGGTGAGCGCCACCACCACGGGCGCCATTTCCCAGTGAGTCCCCTGAGGCCCCGCCTCGCTGCTCCGCCCCCTGCAGTGGCGCCCTGTCCTGCCACCCTGCTGTGTTGTCTGTCCACCAGGGTGCCTCCCCTCCCGCAGCCTCCCCCGACACACACAAACCCAGTTCCCGTGGCCACCTCCCCGACTATTCCAACTCTCCCCTGTCCCCACCCCATCACTTAACAAACCACAAGCTTTAGTGTCCTCCTGCTAACAATTCCTGAAGGGACCTCCACATGCCCTGGAGACTCTCCAGGAAGGGAGCCTCCACTAGGAAGGGTCGCACCTGTGGTTCTGCCTCCCTTTATTTCTGAAGTGCACCCTCACAGTAGCAGCACCTAGCTTTTCTTCTTTGTCTTTTTATTTTTTTCATTTTTTGTGGAGAACGAGGTCTCACTATATTGTCCAGGTAGGTCTCGAACTCCTGGGCTCGAGCTATCCTCCTGCCTCTGCCTCCCTAAGAGCTGGGGTTACAGGCGTGAGCCACCACGCCTGGCAGCACCTCGCTTTTCAAGTTTCCGTGAGCCTAGCCCGGTGCGGGTTGCAGGATGGGGAGTGGGGTGCAGGTGCAGCCTGGGCTCCTCCTCCGGGCAGGCGGTGCTGAGCAAGGTGGCTGTGGCTTCCCTGACGGTCAGGAGCCTCGTTTCCTGAGCAGGCACCGTACAGGGCACTCAGCACAAGGAATCACAGTTCATCCCCACAATAACCGTTATCATGAGCTCCATTCTCCCAGGGAGGACTCTGGAGCTTGGCCAAGCACTTTGCCCAGGGTTGAACCCACAGCTCCCGTGCTCTCATCTGACCCTTACTGAAGGAAAGTGCTTTGATATCCAGAATTCCACAGGCCGTCTTAACTTCGGCCAGGTTTCCTAGGAACAGGGCCAGAGTGAATCCCAGCCCCAGGACTTGGGTGCCGGAGACTGTGGGGCTCTGTGCCCTCAGGAGACCAGGAGTGAGGGAGGCAGCCGGGCCAGGGTGGGGTGGGGTTGGGAGCCAGGCTCGGATGTGGCTCAGCTGAAGTCTCCACCCGGAGCATGAATCGCACCCGTGGGACCAGCTGTGACACCTTTGCGCTGGGCGAGCACGCAACCGCGCAGGTGATAAATGGGCAGCGAGGGCCTCCCCAGCCAGGTTCCCAGCAGCTGGGCAGGGCACTCTGGCCCTGAGAGGCCGAGGCACCACAAACCCCACTCCTCTCCTTCAGGCTGTGCTTGGAGCAACTCTTCCTCATCTTTTGGGGGAATGGGGCCCAAACCCAGCAGGACATCCTCAAATTAGGCAAGGCTGCCCTCTTGTGTCTCTCGGGGGTTGCTGTGGGTAGAAACCTGACTAGGGTAGGGAGGTGCAGTCCCTGAGGGAAGGAGCCCGGGGCAGGAGGGGCCACTCTGCTTGATTTTCCAGCTGCTACCCCCAGAGCTGTGCTTCCAAGTTCCTGGGCCGGCCCCTTCCCGTTAACCAGCTTCTCCTTCTCCAACCGCAGCACCTACGTCCCGGTCCCTGCGAAGATCAGAGTGAAACAGGATAAGGTGAGTGGAGGCCCAGGCCCCTCTGCTCTGAGTTCAGTCTTCCTTGTCTAAGTCTCTGCTCTATAGCACAGGATTGAGTTTCAAGACAGCCCCGAGATCCCTAGACCGCTGGAGGGTAGCATCTCCCACTTAGTGACCCGCCTAGGGGAAGAAGTCAAACACTGGGAGAGATTCTCAAACTGGGGTCTCCCGGGCCAGCAGCATCACCCGTGAGCTTGTCACAGAGGCAAATCCTAAGGCCCATCTCGAACCTGCTGAACCTGTCTCGAATCTGAAACCCTGATTACCCCGGTTTCTGGTCTTTAGCAAGTTCTCCGGGACGCCCTATGCATGCCGCGGTTTGTGAATTATTCTCAAAGCCAGGGCCTCGCCTCCTGCCTCTCCGAGTCTTTCCATGTCGGCATCTTCCCCTGCAGGCCCCTGGTGTGGGGTTGGCCAAGAGATAAGCAAAGAGCAGAAGAAGGAGGGGAGTGAGGTGCCCATCATACTGGCCCTTCGCATACACGATCAAACACAGGCTCAGGGAGGTCAGGAAACTTCCCGGAGACACACAGCTAGTTCTGGATAAGCCTAGAACTGAAGACACCCTGTGCCTCCAGCATCTTGCTCTTTGCATTGGGTTGTGCTGCTTCAGGGAAGAAGCCACTTACATGTCTCTGTAGGGTGGGGCTGGTGGAAGGGACAGCCTCCTAGAGATGGTAGGAGGCCACACTGAGAGGTGAATGGTGCACCAGAGACCCGCGTAATCCAGGCTTGCAGTCCATTCCTAGGCAATGGAGTTTGGCTTTCTGGACATGCACGCCCTCTCCAGCCTGACAAGTCCCTTTCACTGTCCTCAAGGCAGGCTTTGGGTAGTGGAACCAAGCAGGGCCTGATACCGGCCCCCTCCCAGCCCAGCCACTGCTGGCTGGGGTATGCGACACTGAGCAAGTCACTTCGCCTCTCTGATCCTCAGTTCCCTTATCTGTAGTATGAAGAGAGGGAAACCTGGGACATGGGGTCATTTGAAGGACTGGCAATGATTCCAGCCATTACCAGGTGGCTTGACGTGTGTCTTCACTCGTTGACAGTGTCCGCTCGCACTGCGCGCTGTTCCCTGGCGCCCCATCCTCCTGAGCAGTCTCCCATCCCGTTCCCTGGCCTCCCTGGATTATTCTAGGTGTCAGCTCCGTGATCGTCCTCACACGGTCCTCCGTCGTTGCTCTCCATAGCACCTATCAGCTCAGCATCTCTGTCTTAGTGTGTGGATGAGTGTCCGTCTTTCCTACAAGCGCAGAAGCCCGAGTGCCAGGCTGGCTGGGCTGTGTGACTTGCTCAGTGTCACACAGCCCAGCCAGCAGTGGCTGAGCTGGGAGGGGGCCGGTATCGGGCCTGGCCTTGGTTCCATCAGGCCCACTGCAGTGTCTCCATGGCCAAGACAGCGTGTGCATCTGATGGGCGCTCGTGTCCTTTGCTGCTGGAACTCACTAGGGCCGTGTCTTCCCCTCCCCACAGATCCTGATCTACCATCCGGCCTTCATCAAGTATGTCTTCGACAACTGGCTGCAAGGCCACGGGCGGTACCCGTCCACCGGCATCCTCTCCGTCATCTTCTCAATGCACGTCTGCGATGAGGTATGCCGCCCTCCCCCTGCCCGCCAGTCTGCTTAGAGGACGGAGCTCAGCAGCCTGTGTTCCCAGTCTCTGACAGGGCTTGCAATGTGTGTCTCCCAGGTGTTTTAGGGAGTCACGCTGCTCTATGAGAAAGTTCTCAGGAGCAAGAGCTCTGGCATATTACGTGTGAGTGCCCACGACCATGGCGGTAGAAGCTCAGGTCTAGCAGCAGATTCAGGATACAAGAGTTGATCCTCATGGTGAGAGTTGTCTAAGGCCATGGTTCTCAATCCCACTCGCTCCTTAGAATCATCTGTGGGTCTGAGTTCCAGTCCCCGGCAACATCCTGGCCCAGTTTTACCAGAACTAATGGGAGCAAGGCACCCAGGGGTTCCAGTCTCTACCAAGGTTGAAACCAGTGATCTCAAGAAACACGCATTTCCCCTTCACTGTCCTTCGCTGTCCACCACACTGTGTTCGAGTTTCCACTGATGCTCTGACAGGCTCGCTGCTACCCCAGGGAGAGGAGCAGGAGGGCAGGTCACACAGCCCCCACTTCCTCCGTGACCCTGGGTTCAGGCAGGGCCCTCCCGTGTCCCTTCGTGTCTCATTCAGCCCAGCCCCAGCCCCACCCTGCATGGTGCCTGGTGGAAACCCCAGGAAGGGGTCAGAGGCATTGTAAGGCAGGTTCCTGGTCTCAGCCCCGCCCTGGTGTTCCCAGGTAAAAACGTGGGTGCCCCTGTCATCTCCCCACGCCGCCAGCCAGCTGGTCTCAGAGCCCTTCCATCGCTCTCACCTGTTTGGCACTCATGTCCCTGCTCTGGTGTGAGCCTGTGTCCATGTTGCGTTTCCTGAGAAAGCCACATGTGACATGGAGCTGTCCCCTGCCCCCTCTCTGTCCCCACCCCTCCAGTCTGTCCTCCATGCTGCAGCCCAGGTAGCACATGCTCTCCCCGGAACCCTCCATGCGGCTGCTTCTGGTCATTTTGTACTCATTTTCCAAGACCCGACCCAAATGCCACCTCCTCTGAAGAGCTTCCTCAGACCTCTCAGGGGGGCGCCTCCCTCCTCCGTGCTGTGGGAGCTCTGAATTTAGCTCCAGTTCCAACAAGGACCGCTCAGTCAGTGACTCCCATAGGTTACAAGCTCCAAGGCTGCTTACCCCAGCAGCGGCCCAGCGGGCATCTGATGAGGTCTGCCTGGACTTAAATACAGCCAGCAGCGTGCTTGGCTCAGAATAAATCCACAGTGTTTGTCATGTGTGTGAGGGCGCCTGGACCACGTGAGTGTCGGCCTCAGAGAAGAAAGGGATCAGCCCTGCCTTCTGCCTCATTTCAATCATGGTTCTTGGACCCATTTTCCAGATGAGTAAAGTGACGCTCAAACAAGTGATTTCACATGCCCGGGGCACCGTGGAGTGGCAGAGCTGGGATTTGGGGCCATTTGCTTGGCTCCAAAGCCCTGCCTTCCTTCCACTCTCCTCCATTCTATTCCCTCCTTCCCTCTATAGCTCCTCAATCCTGGGAGAACAGGGTGCATTTGCTGCAGAGGTGAGACCCAGGCCCCTGAGGCCACCCACATGCAGTAATCCCTCAGGGCACCTTCTGACACTGGACTTGAGTTTTACTTAACTCGAATTTATTCACCAAGCCTCTGACAGTTGCAGGAATCTAGAGAAGGGTTAATGAAGGGTTAATCTGCACCCTCGGAAATGCTGTTTGTGGTCCTGTGGGATTCCAGGAACGCAGGCAGGCTTCCTTTCTCAGAGGCGCCGCCAGCAGCCCTGCTGTCTGGTTCTCACCTGTGCTCTGCCCCCACAGGTGGACTTGTACGGCTTCGGGGCAGACAGCAAAGGGAACTGGCACCACTACTGGGAGAACAACCCGTCCGCCGGCGCTTTTCGTAAGACGGGGGTGCACGACGCAGACTTTGAGTCTAACGTGACGGCCACCTTGGCCTCCATCAATAAAATCCGGATCTTCAAGGGGAGATGACGCAGCGAAGGGTTGAGGATGGACACACCGTCACGCCTCTGCGTTTCCAGCCCAGCACCTTGCCGGAGCCATTCCAACCTGGAGCTTGGAGGGCCAGCCTCAGCTATGTGCCCAGGCGCCGCCGGCAGCCTCTTGCACCCAGCTGTTGGCAGCATCTACTCAGCAAGGTCACTGAGCTCTGCCAGCATGGCAGGGCACGTCTCAGAACCTGTCTTGGGCGGGGACAACGTTCCCCCGCTGCTGCCCCAGAGCTGGGGAAATGCTGGGAAAGGTTCAACCTCCACACACTAAAATCACTTTGGCTCCTGGGGCGGGCTTGGGGAACACAGGTGGAAGACATCCCTATTCCGAGAGACAGGATGGTTTTCCAATGAAGGTGGGCAGAGACTTGAGTGGCAGTTACCTCCAGCACAGGGACACGCCGGCGGTGTTGGCGCTAGGGGCAAGATGCTGCCCTTTTTGCACGAAGCCTGGCCTCTTGCTTGGCATGATAACCCTGTCATCTTCTTCCCAAAGCTCATTTATGAGCCACCAGATGCTCCTACCCCAAAGATTTTCACAGAAACTTGAAGCCAGGTGCCATGGCTCACACCTGTAATCCCAGCATTTTGGGAGGCCAAGGTGGGAGGATTGCTTTGAGTCCAGGAGTTCAAGACCAGCCTGGGCAACATCGTGAGGCTTCTGTATCTACAAAAATAAAAGATAAAAAAAAAAAAAAATTAGCCAGGCATGGTGGCACACACTTATAGCCCCAGCTACTAGGGAGGCTGAGGAGGAAGGATCTCTTGTGCCTAGGAGGTCAAGGCTGCAGTAAGTTGTGATTACACCATTGCACTCCAGCCTGAGCAACAAAGTGAGACCCTGTCTCTGAAAAGCAAAAGAAAGAAAAAATAACAACTTGGTGCCATGTTTCTGACTCCTACAGATGCCTCTTCTTACGCAGATGTTCCTCTGAGTAGCCAGTCTCGTGGTTCCAATCGTGGCGAGAGCAAATCTGACCACTCCCATGTGCCTTTGTATTTGGGGAAGAAACACATGCATTGGCTGAAATGAGGCAAGAGCTCCCACTTGGGAAAAGGGACCTGCACCAGCGGCCCCACTTGCTCTGTAGCTGGGATCATCTCTTCCGGTTTCCTGAGCCAGCACCTGAATTGGAACAGAGCTCTGAGGATACTCAGCACCACCCACGAGCGCGTCATACATTCTCCTTCTCAGACTGTTCAGTATGGTGCCCATAACCTCCAAGGCCACACAGGAGGCCTCCAGCAGCATTTTCCCCCAGGGCCTGAGCTCAGGGTCAGGTCCCTGCTGGCCATCTTGAGGCTGTCACTGGGGTCTGGGCTAGGGACATCCCAGAAATTGTGACTGGCACATACCTCATCTTCTCATTCCCCAACTACTCTCTTTTCCTCGTTAGCCTTCCTGATTATTTATTGATTTTTTTTTTTTAATTCAACTGACATTGTTTGCACCCTGGCTCTGCTGGTGGTGCCGGTGTTTTAGTGAAGTTTGCCTCACCCAGTAGCTGGGAAATGGGGGAGCTAACGGAGTTTTGTAGGAGTCCTCGGACTTGGAATATTGGGGCATCGAGGGTTTGGATGGTTTGTGGAATGTCCACAGCATCTTCGTGTTCTAACCCAACCTTCCTTCTTCCTGTTGTGGACTTGGATTCATTCTCAGGCTCGGAGTCTCCAAAACTCCGTGAAAGCTTATTGCTGCTGGGTGGAGAGTGGAGAGCGACAGGCATGCAGGGACAGTGATGGTTGGCTCCAGTTACTAATGTTTAAGCAGAAAAACCACTTTTCTTGCTGAAAATCTCTCTGAAAAGGCTGCTGCTGCTTTGAGGGGGCGTGACCTTTTCCTGGTGGTGTGAAGGAGGCAGGGGGGCCTGTGCTCCCAGGCTCAGGGGACCCCCTCTGCACACTCGGAGGGAGGAGCTGGAGGGTATCAGTCCTGGGTCACAGGCGGCTTCAGGCCATTCACAAGAGTCCCTGGAAGTTGCATGCCAAGTTTTTTTTTTATCCCTGAATCTCTTCATATGAGCATTTTTTCTGGAGAGAGGTTCCATAGCTTTTACTAAGTTCTCAAAGGTTCAGAATGTGGAGTGTGTTAGACAAACAAAAAAAACCTGTTTCAGCTTTAAAATCCTCCAAACTTTACGACTTTTTTTTTTTTTTTTCCTGAGAAAGGCTGGTAAGTTGCTGAGTCATCATTCAGAACATGCATACTCGAAGGGCAGAGCTCACAGCCGTATATGACCTGAAAGAACTCAGCAAACGTTTATTGAGTGGCTGAGTAACCCCAGGGACGGACTCTAGATAATCAGATACTGATACAGAGAGCGATGCTGTCTCCTGAACTCTTCCAGCAAACCTCTGACAACAAGTAAAAGGAAACCAAAAGCTGAGTCTATATAGGGATGACAGGCTCAGGCTGAGCAATTGACTTCTCTGGGTTTTGCTGTGGAAGAACAGTTTCCTCAAAATGAAGATGTGTCTGTCTGAGCCAGACGCTGCCTGGGTCAGTCATCTGGCCTCCATCTGTCCCCCCTCCCTCCCACTAGGATGGTCAAGCTGTGAGACCTCTTCCAGCCTCCAAACCCACCTCTCCCATTTTACTGATGAGAAAATCAAGGCCACATTGCAGCCGGGTGGGGGGAGGTGAAGAGTGACAGGCACAGAGGACAGTAATTGTTGACTCTAGTTACTGATGTTTAATCAGAAAAAAACCGTTTTCCTGTTGAGCACATTTACTAAAAGGCTGCTGCTGGACTGGGAGGTGTGGCCTTTTCCTGGTGGGGTGTGAACGAGGAAGTGACAGGCAGTCGTGAACTGTCTGGGACAGATAGCGCAAGTCAGAGTTTGAGCAAAAATAAGGTGTTACTGGCGCTATGTTTAAATTGTCTGGAGATGGGCTTTCCCCGTGAGTCTCCGTTCAGCATCTCAGAAAAGTGTCACCGGAATGGGGTGCCTGAGTCTCCCGTGCTAGCTTAGCACCGAGCTCTGTCCGCAGGCTGCCAGGGTGGTCTCTGCCTTCTCACGCCCTCCAGTGCAGGAGAAAGAATTTCTCTTTCCCATGGCCCAGCAGACACCTCATATGTTTCATTGGCTTAGCAGTGGGCACTTAATGGAATAAAAGCAAGTTGTTGCGGCCAGATTTAAATGCACCCGTTTGGCTTAAACCAGCTGGAACTCATACCTGGGGTGCAGGTGGCTGGGAATTAGACAAGAGTGTATGTCAGACAAAGGGCACCATGCATGCTGTCAGCAGGAGAAGCAGGAGCACTCGTATTGGGCAGGCAGTGGCAGGGGGCTCCCTCAGGCCCCTGAATCCCAGCTTATGGCTCTTTCTACTCCAGGCAGAGTTCCTTGGAGACCAGCCCTGAGCTCACGCAGGAAGCAGAGGGGTCCCTGAGTTCAGGCAGGGAGCAGAGGGGTCCCTGCCTGCAGCACCCGGAGCTGAACCTGAAGCTAGAAAGACAGGCTGACGAGCCAGCCCATGAGGTCTCCCCTGTGAGTCAGGGCTCTGATTTGCTATAGCTAGAGCTACATGCACCTCCCTTCCCCTCAGCCACTTTTTACGGGAGAAAGGAGGGCAGATTTGTATCCTCTGGCTCTGCAGGGATCCTGGGCTGGAAGAAAGTTGATAATTGGATGAATCCCTTTTAAAACTCTGGCTTTTCCAAGCATCATTCAGCAAAGCATTTGGCTAGGCTTAGAGAAGAAAGCCAGGTATGAGAAAATAGAACGTAAAATAGGAAGAAAAGAAGGTGGAAAGGGCAGTTAAGATCTGGGTGATCCTTCAGGGAAAGGGCTGGTTGAGAGGCTTAGATGGAGTACCATTCTCTGCTGTGGCCAGAAGGCGGTGCTAGAGGCTGGTCCCACCTGGATGTGACTCTGGTCTCTTGGCAAAGGTGTACTTAAACCAAAGAGAACATTCAGAACGGGAATGTTTGCTCTTAAGTAGTCTGAAAACAAGTGAAAGGGAAACCAAGAGAACTCACTCACCCTCACCTGGCTAGGATCAAAAAGACTTTGTGCAGGGAAGCCCAAGCTCCGAGGGGCCACAGTCCAGCTAAAGATGACGGGACACCAGCCACGCACCATCAGGAACCAGCACCTGTCCTCGACCCTAAGAAGAGCCCCAGGGGTATCATTATATCCATCATAGACATGTGGTTTGCAGCAAATGTGGCTCCATGCCACCAGGATCATCCTGCGCTGTGGACTGGGCTAGCCAGTTTTGAGATGGAGTCCACCTCCCTCTTTGTGTTTGTCGTAAAAACACCAGCTCCTGCACCCCTGGGTTGCTACCTGACACCTGTGCAAAGACAAGAAGGAAGACTTCGAAGAAAAGGCAGAGACAGGCAAGGCAGCACCTCACAGCTTGTCAGTATCAGGGCATTACCGACTTTTTTTTTTCTCACCAAAAGAGCACTGAATTTCCTAGGGGCAGTGAGCCACCTTTACACCTCCTGTTCTCCCTCCCAGCCCATCAGGTGCCCCCATCACGCAGCCTCATCACTCAGCTTCTTCCTAGTACAAAACTGCCATAGGTTGCACGTCCTGAGCTGTGGGACGTCAGCTTTAACCCTAGCCTCTGTCAGCGCCTCCCCTCCAGCCCCCTGCCCCTTAGGGTGATCGTGGGTTCCTCCCCTTCCTCCTGCACAGTCACTTCCCTTCACCGAATTCCCCTCAAAGCCAAAGTTTCTTGAGCACTTTTTCTTCTGTGCAGTCTTGTGTGTGTGGCTCTTGGTGTTTTAAAAGTTGCTTTTTATTCCCCCTCACCGCCCCACTCCTCTCCGTGTCGTTGCGAAGCTGAGCACTGGTTGGGATGCATTTGAATGACGTTAGCAAGACCCTGCTTTCCTCAACCCCGGCTCTGTTTTATTTATTGTTGAATATTTCCAACGATCCAAATCAAAGAGAATAAAAGGAAGAGCTATTTTATTGTTTGGGTGTGTTTGCTGTCTTTCTGCAAGGGTCATGCATTTACGCTGCCTTCAGCACTCCAGCTCAGAGGGCCTCCTGGGTTGGTGTCCCCACTGCTGAATCCCCAGAATTCGGCAGACCCGAGCAGAGCCCTAGTGTCGGTCTTGGAGAGGCCTCTTCTCAAGCCCAGGCGTGCTGTTCCCTGCTGTGTGACAGGCCTAAGGTCTCTGAACCTCAGCTGCCTGCCTCATGGATCAAATGGGCATGACAGCACTGACCATCAGAGGGATGTGAGATTAAAAACAAAAGCTCACGCCTGTAATCACAGCTCTTTGGGAGGCCAAGGCGGGTGAATCACAGAGTAAGGAGATAGAGACCATCTGGCTAACGCAGTGAAACTCCGTCTCCACTAAAAATACAAAAACTTTCCGGGTGTGGTGGCATGTTCCTGTAGTCCCAGCTACTCGGGAGGCTCAGGCTGGATAATCGCTTGAATCTAGGAGGCGGAGGGTGCAGTAAGCCGAAATCTCGCCACTGCACTCCAGCCTGGGCGACAGAGCAGGACTCCGTATAAAAAAATAATAAAAATAAAAAAGCATCTCAAAGGGGCCAGCAGACACGCACCAGCTGCTTGAAAGTTTGCTGAGTGTATTCGCCCTGGCCAGGGCCTGATGTGGGCAGGGCTAGTGTCTGTCTTTCCCCAAAAGAGGAAACAGACCTCTGTTCCCTCTGTTCCTGACAGAGACGGGCATACCCAGAAATGGACATGAGTCTGGTCCGAAGTTGACACTAATCTCCCTTTAAGAAAATACATGCAGAAACCCAATGTTGGGAGCCTGTAATATAAAGTCAGTATAAACAGTAACCAGGCCTCCCGGTTTGTATGGCACACGGCATCTCCCTGGGCGTGATCTTCAACTCCGGGAACAGCCCAGCGGGCTGGGGCATGGCTGAGGGCAGAGGCGGGTTGACAGCAAGGCGCCTCTCTCCAGTCCCGGGCCTCCTGTCCGCCCTGCCGCCTGCCCATGACTCTGCTTAGCAAAGACGTTTCCGGAGTTATTTGAGACTCTGGCTATGGGGACCTTCGGAGGGCAGCCCCCAGAGAAAGGACGGGCAGAGATACAGGTGCCCAGAGCCAGGCCGCCCGGGGTCCCACCTATTAGCTGTGTGGGTCTGAGCAAGTGACTTCACCGCTCTGGTCTCCTGATTGATGAAGTTGGGATGATGTTATATCTAAATACACGTAGAGGATTAAATGAGTTACACACAAAAGGCTCACAACGACAATGTTAATTATTAGTACATCAGACACGGGAGTGGAGACGAAGCTGTCTGCAAGACTGAAACGAACGGCCAGGTTCTACTGGGGAGCCGGGTCTGTTTCCCTCCCCCCCATCCCCCCTGCGCTGTCCTGCTCCTGCCCCCGCCGCGGGCCTTCATGCTGCCCTGTATCTTCCCCACGTTGTTTCCTCAACTGTAGAGTCCCCTTTCCTCCCTGCCCCATCACGTCTCTGTCCTCTCCCTACAGGGCCCTGCCGTCACCTGGCGTTAACACGCCCTCCCACCCCTCCGTTCTATTGGAGACACGGCCTCCCCCAAATTCGCTCCTGGTTGGCCTCACGTTACACCTACAATGTGGACCAGAAGCCACGAGATGGCGCGATGTTGCAGTCGGACCGCCGCGCGCTTTGTCACCGCAGCGCTGCAGGGTTCCAGTGCCTGGCCGCGCGCGCATCACACCCTGGTCTCAGGCCAGAGCCATGGCCAGGGAAATAAATCGTCAGGGTCCTCCTTGGAGAGCCCTGAAGGTCTAAAGGCATTCCTCCAGGGCGCCCCGGCACCTGCGTGGATGCTGCCACCACAGCCAAGGCCCATCTGCACCCCGCCCCTCCCCCAAATGCGCATCCTCCCAAGATTTGGCCGGGGAGCCCTGGGAAGTCCTAGGAATACCCCCGAGGCTGCTCCAAACGCACGCTTGGCCGTCAGCAAAAAGTGAAGGGACTAAAAAGAAGTTCCCAAGTGGGACTTTCCGATTTCCTCTTCACTTTCCCGGGATGTGTAATGTGCAGAGGGACTGGAATGAGAGTGTGGCCACCCTGTTGGCTCGTTCTCTAGATTCAGCCATGGCTAGCGTTTCCCGTTCATGCCCGGTCATCTTTTCTTTCTCTCTGGTTGCCAATGACCCAGTGACCAGGGATGAGCCTGAGGCCCCCGCTTTGCCCCTGACTGTGGGTGAGCACCTCCCAGGCCCGGCCTGACCAGTGTCCCCCTGCAGGGTAGGGGTGGGAGGTGGTGGGAGGGCCCTGTCCTCCAGCGGCCAGTCACGGGGGCCTCCCCGCTTGTCCTCCTACTGCCATTGGCAGGTAGTTTATTCACACAGGATTTACTGAATGCCACAAAAGGAAATTGTCCGTGTACCCTCAGAGGCTCCTCCTCACTAGGGGACAGAGGCCATCTGAGGCAAGCCAGGAGACCGATGTCCTAGGAGACCTGGAGAGGAAATACCTACTGATTCTCTAGACCTTCCGCGTCTGCGGGGGAGGGGCCCGTCTCTGCTGCTTCAGTTGCTGCATTCAAGAACTCTGGGGGTCAGGTTCAAACACTTGCAGGATATCACCCTGATGACATTCCCTGAACAAGTGATGGTAACAATGTATTCCTCTGCCCCGCCCTGTCTCCCTCAGATGCCTGCCCTGGGCCTTTCCATTCTTGGAGAACAAGGCGAAACCTTGTCCACGTGTCAGATTCAAAGCCCTCCTCGTCATTTTCAGCTGAAACTTGAGGTCCTTGGTGTCAATGAATTCCATGTTACCTGCTTCTCAGAGATGCCGCTGTTAGTGCCCCCACCCCACCCCCCGCTATCTCGTTACTGCCCCATCCCCTCTATCTTGTTAGTGTCCCCGTCTCCCGGTATCTTTTTTTTTTTTTTTGAGACGGAGTTTCGCTCTTGTTACCCAGGCTGGAGTGCAATGGCGCGATCTCGGCTCACCGCAACCTCTGCCTCCTGGGTTCAGGCAATTCTCCTGCCTCAGCCTCCTGAGTAGCTGGGATTACAGGCATGTGCTACCATGCCCAGCTCATTTTTTGGATTTTTAGTAGAAACGGGGTTTCACCATGTTGACCAGGATGGTCTCGATCTCTTTGACCTCGTGATCCACCCGCCACGGCCTCCCAAAGTGCTGGGATTACAGGCTCGAGTCACCGCACCCGGCCGCTATCTTGTTAGTGCCCCCGTCCCCCCCCCCCATCTTGTTAGTGCCCCCGTCCCCCGCTATCTTGTTAGTGCCCCCGTCCCCCATCTTGTTAGTGCCCCGTCCCCTGCTATCTTGTTAGTGCCCCCGTCCCCTGCTATCTTGTTAGTGCCCCGTCCCCCGCTATCTTGTTAGTGCCCCGTCCCCCGCTATCTTGTTAGTGCCCCCACCCCCCCATCTTGTTAGTGCCCCCATCCCCCGCTATCTTGTTAGTGCCCCCGTCCCCCCTCTATCTTGTGACCACTGGACTCCAATCCTACTGCTGTAGACCGAATGGTGCCACCCACCCCCCGTGCATATGTTGAAGCCCTAAGACCCTGTTGGGGTAGTATTTGTTGATAGGGCCTTTGGGAGGTTATTAGGCTGTGAGGAAGTGATGGGGGTTCCTATGATCAGGTTATAAGGGACCCCATAGACTTCTTTGCCATGTGAGGCCACAGTGAAAGGCACCCATCTGCAGCCAGGAGGAGGGGCCTCCTGAGAACCCAACCATGCTGACTCCCTGATCCCAGACTTCCAGCCGCCGGAACTGTGAGAAGATACATTTCTGTTTAAGTCACTGATCTATGGTGTTTTTTAATGGTAGCCCAAGCTGACTCACACGCCCCCACTAACACTGCCACCATTTCACATGGTGGGGGACCTCAGACAGGCAAGGAACCCGGCCTCTTAAGTTTCCCCCCTCAAAATATAGAAGTCATAGTAATACCTGCCCTGAGAGCTTGCTGTAAGGGGTAGACTAATGACCCATGTCTGCCAAGGTGGGACACAAACGAGCGGGCCACACATGGCGGTCAGGGAGTGAGCTGGGTGCAGGGAACCGTCTTCTCCCTCTCCCCAACTACCCAGGACCCTGTAGAGGTGTCCCCCTAAACCCCCTGAGGACATCAGGTCCGTCCTCTTCTGCTTCCCTTGGACCTGCACCTGCAGTTGGAAAACACTCAGCGGACTGGTCCGACCCTGGGCCCTCAGCACAGCCACCGCTGAGCTCAGCACTGAAAAGCAAAGGCTTCCTGTTTTCTGGGCCCCCATGTGACTGCATGTGGCTCACCTTCCAGGCCGACGGGGCTGCTGCATATATATATCCAAACAAAGAGGAGGCTTTGTATGGATATAGAAAGTCAGTGCAATTGGGTGAGATAACAAAAAGGGATATTTTGCTGCAATTCTGAGCCAAATGCTCCAATTCAGCTTCCCTCAGAACACAGTTAGCTGCGAGTGGTTCCTGAATCAACCCCCACCCCACCCCCAATTAGCTCAGAGCCCATGCTGAGGGTGATGAGATTGAGGCCCTAAGACCGCAGCCACTTGGAGACAGATCTGGGCCTTGTCAGGCTATAGATCACGAAGCCCTGGGTCTAGATGGGGCCTGCAGTGGGTTGAATGAGATGGTCCAAGGAGCAACACACAGGAGCGGAGGTTAGAAGCAGCAGGCCGGGGGCACAGGTCTCTGGCTTCGTGGTGCCTCTGAGGCTGCAGCAAGGTCGCTTCAAGGAGACTGAGGCCTCGATCGGGTAACGCCTGTCCCCAAAGTTGGTGAAGTGGCACCATGCATGGCCTGGGTGACAGCAGGTTCTCTTTGGGATGGAGGTGGAAACTAGGCTGGAATGGCCTAAGAGTTACAAAGCCCCATGTATACAAAGCAAGTAGGACACTCCGGCGGTGTGCCAGCAGAGGGAGAGGAAAGGGCGCTGCAGGGCAGCCCCAGGGTTAAAGGGGAAGGGCACGTATTTGAGGAAGCATGCTTTGTCTAGCAGCAGAGACTGCCGCGG